CATCCTAATGACTAACAGCATATACTTCTAAGTAAGCTGGATTGGGTTTAGTCTACAACATGCAATTATATGAAAACTTTAGTAGCCTGTGCACAAAGGTTCCAAATCTAAATACTGTCACAGGCAAATGAGCTAAATGGCACAGGCAAACCTACAAAAGAACTATACCTGGCTCCAAAAGAAAGCAACATTACTATTTCCTACAAATGCAGATGCATATCTCAGCACTGTCTATAAAGCAGTCACTCCACCCAGCTCTCATCATTCTGTCACTCCTTAGCCTGCTCTAATTTCTTAGCACTTGCCACTAGCTGAAGTTATCTTTTATTTCTGTATGTTTATTTTCACTTCCTCTCCATAGTATTTTGTTTTAAGCCCCAAAGGAACAGGGACCTTGTCTGTTTTTACACCTCTGTACACCAGTGGCCAGACGGCTGTGTGCTCAATAAAAACTTGTCAAATGACCACAACTACCCAGGTAATTTACTTTAAGGTCACCAAGTACACATAAGATCAAGTCACTACCAATAAATCAGTAAGTCCAATGCAACAGCAAATATAAAATAAATTATTACTCCATTCCTGGGTAAGAGTGATCTTTAAAAACGTACCAGTTTTGTATCAGCTTTGAGATTGAAAGGTCTGACAAAGTTTGATTTGGAAGACATTTACTTTTTTGGTGCATTTTATAAAGAATTTTTATGAAAGACAAACACTGCAACAAAACGAATGGTGACCTAAGGAGCAAAACCAATGTTGTGGATTACCAGTGAACAAAAACAAGAGGCCTGGCTCTGAACCAAAATAGGTATCTTCTCTTCTTTCTAGGAGCTTTCCTATCTAAAAAGTATTCTGAAGCTTCCAGCAAAGATCATAACCATGTTGCATTTTTCCATAAAACTCCTGCAGTACTTCATGACTATTCAAGACATTGAGTTGTCAGAGTCTGTATTTGAGGGGTGGAGGGGAAGTCCAAAGTTTCAACTACAGAGAAATCAGAGAGTTCTCACACAAAAGAAACCTGTTACACACAAAACAGCTGCTTCTTCAATACTTCCAATTCAATATTCTGGACCTACGGTAATTAACCAAAGTAAAAATTTTCCAATTTTTTGAGTGTGATTTAAGCAGCAGCTGAAGGTAAAAATCCAGCATGACTATCATACAAACACTAATCGACAAAAATATACAGCAATGTATTGGTAACTTTTATTTCATAATAAAGATAATACTCCATTCAGAGAAATAACAAGGGTCAGGCGTGGGGGCTCATGGCTGTAAACCCAGCACTTTGGGAGGCCCAGGTGAGAGGACTGCTTGAGCCCAGGAGTTTGAGACACGCCTAGGCAACACAGCGAGAAGCTGTCTCTACGCCCCCCCAACCAAAAAAACAGAAATAAAATCACAAAAGTAAAATTAATTACTACCAAGTCTAGGAAGTTACTTGAGAATATTAACTAAACAAGTTAGGCAAACTAGTGTGTCTGCAGATTTATTTCTTCTTCTTTTAAGAACGTAGTATCCTCTTTCTTGAGACTGGCGAAGTAGCGTGGGAAATACTCCTTTAGTTATCACTTAGGAAAGGGCTAGTGTTTCTTCCCCACTCACACACACTCTAGCATATAATCTTTTATTTCCTACCTTGAAAGTCTTAGAACACATCAACATGGGGGAAGCAACCTTCCTAGGTGCCCTTGACTCTTCCATGCGCTAGTGTTAAAGACTCAGAGAATGGGCAGTAGGAACCATTTGATGTGATGGAAATGTTCTAAAACTGAGTTGTGGTGATGGCTGCACAACCCATTAAAATGACTAAAAGTCACTAAAATGTACATCTTCAATGGGTGAGTGTTTTGGTATGTAAATTTTACCTCAATAAAGCTTAAAAAAAAACAGCAAGGCGTAAAGAATGGGACAGCATAGTTACAAAAGCGTATCAAAGAACCAAAGAGACCCAACACAAAACTGATAACACATCCACAATGCAGATCTTCACTGCCCCCTGAACCGCCAAGTTGCCTGTTAAGTGTGCCCTTCTTCTCTTAACATATTTCACAGGACCATCTGATCCTTCTTTCATTCTACTCTAAGCTCCTCTAAAAAGAAGAAAAAAAGACCTCATTCCCAATCACCTTTGAGATTCCACTACTATTGCCTGATGCACATGGCAATAGGAGTGAAAAGGTGACAGGTGATTTTGCAGAAATTCTCCTTGTCCAGAAGAAATGGGGGACAGGGGAATCCTTCTAATTCACCAACCAGACTGCTGACCTTCCAGAGTCCTTTACACCTCTTACAGAGCCTTTATAACCTGGAATATGGTCATTCAGATACATGGCTTTCAACCTTTAATACCACTTCTCCCCTCAGCAGTATCTTTCATATTCTGGGAATTTAATGAACATTCTTCAAATGAATGGCAATATTTTACCCAATCAAATCAAGTAATATTCTATCCTCAAAGGGCAAATACAGTTCTCTGTCTTACTGGACTACCATTGATCAAAGCTGCTTTCCTTGGTTGACTGGTAAATGATGGTAACAAAAATGGCAAGAATGATTAAAAAAACAAAACCAAACTCCAAAGAGCTAAGACTGTTAAAACACCAAATACCAGCTCACAGCTATAAAACACAATTTCTGTGACAGGCAACAAATTACTCCAAAAATTACGAATTTTTGCCTATTACCCAGCATCTAAAACCCAGCAGCAAGCTTTCTACTGCAATCAATACCAAGTCTGATGTGATAAGTACTACCCAAGACAGAAAATACTAAGTTCTTATCAAACCCGAGGTACACACACACACACACACACACACACACACGCACAAAAGGCTCAATGAAAACATACACACCCCCCCACACACAGCAATAATCAGTATAACAGAGAAAATAACCAACAGTTAATATACAAAACAGGACAAGAAAAATCTATTAAATTCACTTCTCCACATGAGACCTGTCCATAACACAGGAAAGCCAACATGTTATTTGCATTCCAATTAATGACGATTTCTGAGTAAATCTGAAACATCAAAATACTAACAATAACCAAAATGAAACAAATTTTGGTCAGGTAAGAGTATCATAAATTGACAGTTTCAGTCTGTAGATCTGTGAAATCTCTGTTCAAATCCTACTCAATGACAGTATTAAAGTATACAAAGATCCTTAAACAAAGGAGATGAGTTTGCTGTTCCTGATTAGACTCTAAGATATTTGTCACTAATAATTTAAAATTTTTTAAAAAACTGAATTTCACTGTCAACCATCTGTGGCTCTGAAAAAAACTTTAAATATACATATTGTTTTTAAAGTCCAAGACTTCCACGTGTTTCCAAAAAGTGATGAGTCAGGTTTTTTCAAATACATGTAAAAATTGAAATGCATTTCATTATGAGTTAATCATTCCCAGCAATAAATCAGACAGAAACTTTTGGATTTGGTTTAAGTTTCTCTTCACCAGTAAGGTTCTCAAGTTCTTAGGAGTTTCCTAGTCATTTACTTGATCATCATCTACGGTAACACTCAAAGCAAAACCACAATAAAGAGATTTGGCCGCTGAGGGATTCTACATGTAAAAAACATTACTCATAAATAACACACAATCACTATTGCTTTAAATAACAAACACATTTCTAAACTTTCATGCCATTTGATGGAATTCCCTATTTTAGATAGCAAAACAAAACCTATGAAACTACCAATGCGTGTTTTTTTACTTATTCCATTACAACACATACTCCATTACAATACAAAACGTTGACACAAATTTACCTAAGAAACAACTCAATGGGAAATATTTTTAGTTCTTGAATATTTTTATCCGAGGATGTCACTATTTAAAGAGTTCATGGAATCCACAGAACAAGTAACCAGGCCAATTAATCCCAGAGTTATATTCTTTTAGGTTGCCCAATAATCCTATTTAATCCCAGATACAAATAAATCGATGAAACCTTACAGGACACATTCCTTTAATCAAGTAACAACATCCAGTTGGAATTGTGGAGTAGTACTACAGTCATTTTGGAATGTCACCAATTGAAATGATCCTAAAGGATCCACCTTATGAAATGATCCTAAAGGATCCACCAAAACTCACTCATTCGGTCTCAATTTCACACACCCCAATGCCTGTCCATTAAATGACACCAAGAACGGTTTAACTTCAAATTCTGACACCACTGAAGCACATTCCAGACATAAGTTAAAAGACGACGGGAAGACTACAAAAGCAGTCGTGACATTTTCTCCACGTATATCTAAATGCTAAATCTAAAGTAGTTCAACTCGTTCTGACACCACAGGCAGCTTACTACCTACATCTAAACGAAAAGGAATTATTTTAACGCTCCTTTCATAACAAAGCTTTAAACGCTAACTTCAATATTCACTCTATTCATTTCACCATTTTGTCAAATCGTCCTCCATCACCACCACGCATAAGCTAATCAAAAAACAAAAAACCTCACAGCTCAGCCTTCCAAAAAATGCACTTTCCTTATCAAACTCCATTTATTTTCAAGTGGAGACAATTGCAACTCAAGACAGGAAAAGCACAACCAGTCTTACTGCACTACCACCACTGAATTTCTCGAAGAGAAAAATAACTCAGGACAGGCAAATTAAAACCATTCTGCACATGGCAAAAATAAAAAGGTCTAATGTCCTACAATCCGTAGCAACAGCACTGCTTCCTCCCTTTCCCAGCCAATTCCAATAAGCGAATGAAAGCAAGTGTCAAATAAACCCAGAGTCCGTTTGAAATAAGACCAAAACCTGGAAAAACTCCCTCCCATCAATCATTTAGTGAACACAAGGCTTTGCACCCAACACGAAATACACACAACCCCAACACACACACAACCCACTCCCAAATGCAGAAAACGCCGTAATCAACAAGTTGGCAAGAGGGCAGAAAGTAAGGCTCGCTACCCTCTCCCCTGCCTTAAAAGAAAGTCCCTTCACAAAAGGTAACACGGATCTTCGAGTACCTGGTGGAGGTGCCTTTCCTCACATCGCAGATGCTGCATTTGAAGGCTTCAGCACTGTTTCTGAAGGTGCACACGCTACAATCCCAAAAGCCTTCGTCTGCGGCAGGTTTCGCTTGTCTTTTCGGCCTTCGGGGGCGCGGGGAGTGGGGGGAAACGGGAGGGAAGAGGCAGGGAGCAGGAAAGAGGGGGAGAGACAGCAAAACACAGGCGCTGGTGAGCCGTCGTAATTTCGCAGGAATCCAGCGCTGGAAACTTCGCTCGGGCGACCACCCACCCACCCTTTTCGGGGACTGGAGGAG